AGGCATGAAGAAATGCACAGGGCGATTAGGTAGAGTAGGTGTCTCTCGTCCTCCGGGTTAGGGTCCAAAAGACTCCGAAACCGCATGGTTGGAGACACTGAAGATCATGGCTGCGAACCGACAGCAATGGCGATCATGCTGTCACTTCCTATCAGACCAGAATGCTTGAAATAGTATGTATGCACAGCTGGACTGTTTACTCTGTGTATTGACCACAGAGGTTCACTTTCTTTTCCCGTCCCTAAGAATAGGTCCAATCCCGGTCCTCCTTGCACATTACCACTTTCCTTGTTTGCAGTATGAGTTTGGCGGCGATCAGTGAGGTTCGCTTCACCATATTATGCAGTACAACGATGATGATGATGATGATACAACTGATGAGTTGAATCTTGTGCAATGCGAGCATCCGTCCGCGCGTTGACGGACGTTCTGCCTATTTCTGGCGTCCGATAAGGCTATCACTTATTCCTAATGCTTTTCAGCTACCTCAGATTGTGTAGTGTTAATGGTTTGGAACAGTTAAAGCCAATCTTCCGTCAGTTTTTGGAGTGCTCTTGGCTCTCAGAGAAATCCAAGAAGGCGGGGTATCCTCATTCTGGATATATTCGCACGGTGGAAAAGTATTTCTGCAGTGTGTGTTCGGTTCGGCACCCATGTTTTCAAACAATCTTCAATGTGGAATAACAGTAGAAGTCATTAAACCCGGTTAAACTCGATTGACCACTAAGAATTAATCCGGTTTGAACTTTTCCATCCAGTTCATAGATGTCTCTTTTTGTTTGTGTATTGTTCTGATCTTTGAATGTCGTGTTTTTTTGTTGTTGACAGGAAAGTATCCCGAAGAGCACCGCTTGCTATTCACGACTATGTATGATGAGTCTCAGAATCGCTCATTCACCTTTGATGGTCGGTCACACCATCAGTCACAAGCTGACCGAATTGCTTTGGGTGATCTTTGGAATCCTGAAGATCAGGTGAGTTGCTTTCATCGGAAACGGATTCTATCAATCATCATTGATCTTTATTGAGGTTTTCGATCAATTTGTCCGTGGTCACTGCTCGCTGGTCATCGAGTAAACCGAATCCATGTAATCCACGTCTGCTGGCTCATTTTTCAGCACTCAATAATATTCAGGCCCGAGCACAACGAACCCTAAATCTGTTGTACTTTAGGACGTCTATACTTCAAATAAGTTGCACGCTTTGTTCCGTCTGTGAGGTTGCGAATTAGATCCATGATAGACCTGACAGATTCACAACGGGCTTACTTTCGCCAACCTGATTTATCTGTTACTTGGGCAATAGTGATAGCGCAGCAAAGGAGAAAATCGCACGCATTTTCAAGTCTCGAGTAGCGTGCGCCGGAGTGAAACATATTTAACGTAAATGTGACGTTCCATCGAAGTTGAAAGCTCGCGTAAATTTTATCACAGTTCGTTCACCTCTTCTTTTTTGGATGTGAGACCTTGAATTTGCGAGTAAATGATATCCATCGTCTACAGATTTTCTATCGAATTTGGCACACGTGAGATGGGGTGAGCGGATTAGTAACCTGGAGGTGAACCGTGTGTTTGATAGTTTATCTGGGATCAATTTGTAAGCACATCGGATTCAGATCAGTAGGCTTCACTGGTTAGGACACGTATTGCGCGTGCCCAGCTGCCGTTTATCACACCGCGCCTTATTCGCAGTTGCGGCTCCAGGTTAAAGGAAACGATGTGGAGGTCAACAGGTGGCGTGGAAAGAAATGCACAGATCGATTAGATAGAATAGGTATCCCCCGTCTTCGAGGCTCGGGTTTGAAAGATTCTGACTAGTTGGTTGGAGACACTAAAAGGTATGGTAACTAACAGGCCAGCTGTTTGATCACCTCCTGGCTTCCTTTTCTATCCACGTCCTTCCCTGGAGAGCTCATTCCATTAAAAACCACGAAGAGGGGCAGTTTGCCGGTCAAAAATCCCCCGCTAGATGGACGTAGG